CACAGCTGCAGTTAAAAAAACAAGAAAAGAGGGCTGTTTCAAAGGCTGCTTCTCGGGCAGGCAGCGTGCTTATGACGATTTATGATGATTTACACACACCCCCTCTGCTCACAGTGGGCAAGGAAGCTCGTAAATCCTGAATCGGTAGTTAACCCTTTCGTATCCCACCCCTGCATGAAAGACACATTTATCTTACAGAGATCCTAGGTGAAAGAGGCTTTTGTTGCTACTGAAATGGAAAAAATGGGATAAAATACTTTTAGTCTGCCGCAATGACCCTGATTTTAATGCTGCTTCAATAGGACTTCTTCAACTCTGATAAAAATTTTAAAAATGACAGTTTTTTTAGATGAATAGCCCATAAGTAAGTTTTCTCCACATGCCCATATCTAAATATGATAATGATGATGATGACAATGATTTTTTGTCAGATTTGAGAAATTGTTCCACTTTTATATCACACAAAAAAACCAATACAATTCACTCCAGTTCTGCTTCCATAACTAGGAAGAACAATTGTCTCTGACTTTGGATTTATTTATTCTTTTTATTTTATTCTGGACAAACCACAGATCAGAATCAACAGTGTAACATGCCAGATATCGCCTGTCTATAGTACCTGCTCATATATTTTATATTTTATTTTGTATATTTCATAGCTTTTTCAATTAAAAGCAAAATAGAAAACATATGGAGATAACTTTGGGGATACAAAATTAGGCGTCAGAATTACTCAACCCACATACCCAGCGTAATGCCATCTTTCTTAGGATTACATTCTGATTTTGCAAAAATGCTTTTGGTATCTGTTTATTTACTACTGAACAACTATGCCTTTGAATGCATGGGTGCTTACTCTGCGGCCTGGAAATTGTTGATTTTGTTTATCAACAGGACTTTATAAAAGAATACTCATGCTATTAATACCCAATCTCAGCTTTAGATATCTATTAGCCAAATGAATTAATCGGGTTTTTTGTGGATAAAGGAGTCCAGCATCAGCCTCCATATATGCTTCAAAAATGATGACTGTTAAATGGAAGAAGCATAACCTTCATTCCAAAGTGCTTATCTATGGACCCCATGCAAAGCATTGTCAAGGTATCGTCCACTGCACAGATGGACCTCTGGGCATTTCTTGTTTCTTCCTTGCACTTTTCAAAACTACTCATTGCTTGTCTGCCTAGATTGGAGAGAAAACACAGCCAAATGAACTAATTCTACTTTATTGTATGATAACATTAACATAATTTTGCAAATCTTCTCCCTCCCCCCTCTCCCCCCCTCCTCCCTCCCAAGCCCCTCCCCCTCTCATTCCCATTTATAACCCAAGAAACTAGGGATGGTCTCTTCTGAGCCTCTTGTTCACCACATTCCTTCTGTGAGCTCTGCTGACTTTTATCTGACCACTCCCTTGATTGTGTCTCTTTGCCCTGTCTCCCAAGGTTATTTTCACATACCTTTACACTGCTTCAACTTTAGTTTGGTCTGAGAGAATAATTGGTATTTGAGTACCCAGGTTATGAAAAATGTTCATGCATAAGGTTGAACCCAAGTTTATTAGTACACTAACTCAATACCCGTGCTTCGCTACAAAATCATGTGGTCAGACTTAGTTTTGGGGGAGGAAAATAAGGGGAAAAAATGTGTGCCTCTGCCTACCAGCATCCATCGGTGTTCATCTGGCTAGCATCCTGTCAGTGTTGAGAAACTGAAACAGTATTTGCTGTGTGAGCAAGACAGAGACAGCAAGGAGCCTGGGGGTGGCTTAGCTCAACTTTACTGAACTAAAGCTGCTTGGTGCTGTGAACTGAAACTGAAACAGAAACTCTTCTCCTCTGCTTGTGTTTTGCATTTGGAACAGATTTCTTTTCAGGTGGGTAGGGGGAGTAGAACTCCTTAGCATCAGAGCGTGTTAATAATAATATATGAAATATTAATGCTCCAGTAAAATCTCCAGTCAGAGGTGGTATTTGCCGGTTCTCTGAACTATTCAAAAATTTCTGCTACCGGTTCTCCAGAACTGGTCAGAACCTGCTGAATACCACCTCTGAACTGGATGGACAGATGGGTCCAGCAATTGCCAATCCTTTATGCAGACCATTCCATCATGCTTTACTTTTGATGACCACATCACACAAAAGGGAGTTTGATGACAGGGTATCAGTGAGGGCATGGGAAGTCTCTTCTCTTCTTAAGAAGTATAATATACTTAACAACAAATTAAATAAACATGCATTTGAAGTTCAAAAACATTAATGCCTGAAACCTCATTTACTTTTGCTGCAACCTGAAATCTTGTAAAAAAATTAAAATCTGAATATCAAATAATAGTGATCTTCCAAGATTTTAGACATTTAAAGAAAAAGATATTTGGGCATCCAAATGATGGGCACTTGCTGGAATAGTGTTAGATCACTAATTCTACCTATTCATGCTTTTTTATTAATACGGTTGGTTCAGAGGTCACATTCAGCAGGTTCTGACCAGTTCTGGAAAACTGGTAGCGGAAATTTTGAGTAGTTTGTAGAACCGGCCAATACCACCTCTGACTGGCCCCGCCCCCATCTATTCTCTGCCTCCCGAGCCCCAGCTGATCGCCTGGGTCTTCTTTTGTTGCCCTGCACAGGAGAACGGAGCTGGAAAGCAGGTTAGTGGGGTGGGAGAGGGAATGGGATTTTGCAGTAACCTTCCCCTGCCACGCCCACCAAGCCATGACCACCAAGCCACACCACGCCCACCAATCCATGCCCACAGAACCGGTAGTAAAACAATTTGAATCCCACCACTGGCTTGGTTGCATAGTCAGCCAGATGTTCAAAGTTGATTTGGCATTTTTTGTCTACCTATCAAGTCCTTCCCAAGGACCTGGGGTAGGCAGCCCTCAGTATTGAAACCTGTAGCCTGTCACTGGACGTCCAGGAACTCCAATGCCTAGTGCAATCCTTGTTGACATGGGCAATCACTGATCTGATATGGGTTTTAGTAAGTTATGTCTCACCATATTGCTTAAAGAATGTTGTTTGTCCTCTGTCCAGTATGACTGAAACTCTGGCATAGTTCTTGCCTTCCTCAAAGCACACAATCCACACAACCACCTCAAGATAGTGCTTAACTGGAAGATTACTCTTGTTAATATGGTTCATCACAAAGTCAGCCAGATGTTTAGACTGGATTTGGCCTTTTTATCCATCTACTAAGTTTCCCCCAAGACCCAAGATAGGCAGATGTTGTCTGATAGTATTAAAGTATCTTGGAAGGATGCATGCTACCCCGAGTAAAACTGTCTTTTGCAATTAACTGATGGTGATTTTGTCAATGCCGATGGTATTTAGTGGTGAGTGGTACTGATGCCAATGGTATTTAGTGGTGGTATGGATCATTTGGGATTGTACCAGAGACACCTATCATTATTGATACATTTTATTTCTTTTGCCACAGTTGTTCTATTTGCAGGGTTCATCAAACAGCCAGCTACATGTTTAGACTGGTTTGGCATTATTATTATTATTATGTGTTTATTATTATTAGTTATTACTTTTTATCCTGTTTACTATGGTAAATAGTTTAACTTGCAACACCCAAACTCTACATCTTACCTATTAAAACAGATACTTCTATACACAATTTCTTCTGAAAGAACATTTTTGTATGCTTTTTCTGAAGCTACAAACTGCACTGAAACATTTAGAGAAGTAGTAACTCAGGAAACAAGGTACATTTTGACTGACTAGTCTGAACATGCTTTAGTTTAGAATGACACAGAACAAGATTCTCCAACAACCAAATGAGTCTGGGAATCTCCAGGCGACACCTGACACGTTCCTGCTGGTTGTCCCCATCATCTGGCCTTTGGATCCAAGGAAGTTTGTCCAAATATTCATCAACAGTTCCCATCAAGCCAGTCATGTTGGCTATGTATATGTGGCGCTGGATTGGGAAAGCTGCCTCCAACGGCATCATAGAGCAGCTGTTCTGCATTAAATACAAACATTCTGTGTAAACAGTTGGACTGGAGACTTAAAAAACAAATCAGTAAGAAACCATCAACCACAAAGAAGTTCTACTTCCCATTCAAAGGCTTTCGCTTCTGGAAAAAATTTTTTTTTATTTAGCACACTTTCGCAACATTATCCCCAGAGACCAAACCAAGGAGGCTGTCAGCTGGTGCTCCATTCAAAATCCAAGAAAGAAATACTTAAGACTCTTTTAATCAGAGAAAAGATATCTTTTACTGGAAATCGAGTGGTAGCAACAAAAGAATTCTGAATCTGAGAAAATGGGCGTGTAAATCACATATACAAAGTAATGGCAACGTTCCCACCCCCAATGGTTCAATTGGCTCATCCAATTAAAAGTTGTGTATATCATCATGTGGGCATCTCCCACATGATGAGGCTTCTGTCTGTTGACCTTGACATAGTTTGATAAAGGGTTGCAGCTGCGCATAGCATAGGATAGAAACCTAAGCAAGAATGTACCACCCCCCACCTTACACAGTTCTGGTTTGTAACACCTCCAGCTCACTTCCGTTACTTATGACAGCCGAAAGATGCAAAGCAAAGGGAGAAAAATCTTGAAGGCTGACAGGGGCCTTTTTTCTGGCGACAGGAAGGCTCAGAGTCACTCGGCCAGACGTCCAAGCCCTGGTTCGCCCTTCGTTTTTTAGTAGTCCAGAAGTTGCTTGGACTTGTCCTCCGTGTGCACAGCACGTTAACTTCACTTCACTTCACTTCACACGCGCGCCAAAACCTCTGCCTCGTCCCCACACCCAGTTCTACCGGTTGAGCGGCGTCCGCGCGCTCTCCAATCCGCGGGGAACTTTCTGCCTTTGTGGCAGGGGCGGGCGTTTTGCTTTCGTTCTTTTGGGGTTGCCTTTCCCCACGCCTTGGCACCTCACCCCCATATTGTCTTCTCCGCCTTCGGTTCCCCCTCCACCTTTTCCTGACCCTCTCGCCCAACCTGACTCCTCCCTTCTCTTCCTCCCTCCCAGGTTGCTTTTCTGCGCCCGCGGTACGCCACAGCGGGGCCCCATCCTGACAGAGAGTGGCAGCCAAGAGAAGATTTTTGCCCTCCGTCTCCGAACTTCTCTAATGTTTAACTTGGCGCTGCTGGCGGCCCAGCGTATCCGGGACGGCAGGGCAGGGAGGGAGGGACGGAGAGAGGGAGGGAGCCTGAAGAAAAGTCGCCCGCCGTTGTTGTTTTCTCCCTTTTACACACTGATTTCCCTGGAAGCCAAAGGACCGGCAGGAGCTTCCCGCAATGAAGGTCAGTAAGCGGGTTTCGCCCCTCGCGTCTAGCTCAGCAGCGGCTGTTCACGCGCGGAAAACTGAGGCGAAACTCCTGTAGGTGTTTCCTTGCGCGAAGGCAAGGGAAGGCGACTCGGTGGCGCTCGGCTCTCAGCCCGAGGCTTTTTGGCTTCGCGGTTTTCTGTGTTGTTGCCGGTGATTTAAGGCGCCCCACGACTCAAACGTTTAGCCTCCTTAGCCGGCCCCGCGCTGCTGCACACGTGGCGGTATCGTTTCCAAAGAGGGCGGTTTTGCTGTGAGCATGTGGATGGAACATTGCACCTCGGCACTGCTGAACAACGCATAAGTGGATAGCCTCGTCCCTTCAAAAGAGCCTCCCAGCTGTATCTTTAAAAGGGCAACAAAACGTCAATCAGTAGCAGAGTTTCTTAATCTGGGGCGAAACTCTTGAGGCTCAGATCGATTTTGACAAACATTAAAAATGCAGGAGTGCTTTTCTCTTGCTTTCGGACTAAACAGAGTTCGGAGTTCAATTTTGTGCTCGTCCTTGGGTGAGCCACATATTCCAATCCCCTTTGGCAGGAGACAAGGACCACAGAAATACTCCTGCCCTTTGTTGTTTGTTCACAGCATTCAGAAGTATATTTCTTTTTGAAACAAGAGACAGAACCTAGTACAAAAAAGAGGGTTGATTTGCATGCCTACAGTATAAATCTGTATGATTACAGCATAGACGTTCTCATAGTAGAGAAATTGGCAGCTAAACCTTATGATATAAACACAGGTCCAGACAAGGATCTGCAGTATCGAATGGGAGTTACCAGGCAAAAGGATTATATGTAAAATCCAATATAATCCTCGTGGACAAGTTGCTAGAATAAATGTATAACTCTTGAGATTCTACCACCCCTTAGAGAAATAAATTTCATATTATAATCTTACTATTTATACCTTGATAAGAGTGTTACATGGGACTTCTGGTTTGAAGGGCTTGGCCAACAGACAGGAATCTGCGATCGTGCGCGGTTTCTGCCTGGGCTTGCCGCTGGAGCGCCCCGAGCCGGCTGGTTTTGGGGCTAAACCACCCCATAGAGGTGGTGAAGAAGGGGGAGACTGCCAGCAGGGTCGAGGAGAGCCGCATCTCTCCTCCTCAGCTGGTCAAACTCCCTTTCCCGAAGGCGGTTGCAGCGGTGGTCAGAAATGGCCACCTCAAAGAAGTACTCAAACGGAAAAGAACGTGCAGGAGGAAGATAAGAAGTGAAAGTTTTGGCTGACCAGGCTAAGTTGAAAAAGCAATAACTAAGGTACCCTGGAATTTAAATTTTACAAGAAATAACATTGCTCCCAAAGAAGAGTCGGAAGCAGCAAAAGAAAGTGAAAGGGGAAAGGTTTGACTTTTTTTTCCTTCTCTCTCCTTCCTTATATTGACAATTAAGAATAAGAAATTGGAAAAATGTGCTTTGGCATCAATAGGCAATTAAGCTGAAAATATAACTAAATGCCAAAGGGACAATAAGGATTTCTGGACATTAAAACCTTTTTCTTCTATAAGCAGGTAGGGAGAGAAAAAGAATAAGGGCAGGATCTGGAAGAGGGAGGAGACTGCCTGGAGTTTAAAAGAATCTAAAGTAAAATTTCAATAAGACTTCTAAAAGATACATTTTAACTGAAACTTTGCAACTAAATAGTAACCCCAGGAAGAGAAAGTGGAAAAAAAGAGAAAGAGTAAAAGGAAACAGTTTGTGTGTATTTTGATTACTTGGTGATTTTTGGATTTTTGGCTATTATATTTGAATGACTAAAATCAATCGGGTGGTTGTTTAAAAATTTCTACAATGGCATTACTTTTGGACGAATTGAAAATGGAACTTAAAAAGTATAAAGAAGATGCACAAGAAGGGAAGGGCTTCGTTTTTCAATTCTTAGAAATGGAGATTTGGAACTATGAGCAACAACAAGAAAAGACTTCAAAGCAAGAAGACTGGGACAAAGAAGAAGCCATCTTTAATGAACAAGTAACTCTATGTGGGGAAGAAAAAGGAAAGAGGGGAAAGAGGATGGAGAATTTAAGACTTAAAAAAACAACCAAAGAAAAGAAAAATAATTCGAAAAATAAGTATAATACTGGAAAGCAACAGAAAAGGGGAATATAGAAGAGGGAAGTAGAGGTAGAGAGACAAGGGTAAAAAGGGGAGGGAGAAGAAGAGAGGGAAGAAGGAAAGGAAAAGAAGTCACAAAGATCCAGAGCAAGATATAAAGAAACAGGACCTATTTAGAGATAATGGGTGAAAATTTAACTGAAAGGGGGATTCTGTAAAGGTACATGAGATTGTGTTGTTATATTTGAAATAGAAATAACTTTAGAAAATTGGAAATAACATATGATTAGAATGAGGGATAGAATGGTTAGTGTAACTTAGTGAAATGTTTGTGAATAAAGTAAATGAAATAAAATAAATGAGAAAATTGAATTAGGAAGGAATGGGAACACTTTAATTAGTCAATGTTTTATAAAATATAAGTGAAGGGGGGGGGAATTGATTATGGAAAGTTTATAATTGTTCCCATAGAAGTATGATACTTAATTGAAAAGTAACGTGAAAAATCTTAAGACTTTAATGAATATTAATATTAATGATAGAATAGAATTGGAATGGAATGTTGTTTTAATTATATACATTTATAATGTTTTCTTTTTCTTTTTTTCCTTAAGAATATTGTGTGTAGTTTAAGAATGTACCAAACAGAATCCGAATGGAAGCTATGTATTATATTGAGTGTTATAACTTTAGGGGAAAGATATAAAGGCATCATACTCCAATCAGTAACTACAGGAGAAATTTTGTTTAATGAGAAAAGATAATAGACAATTGAAACAGGACAGACAAAAAAAATATAAATATAATGATTTGAATTGAGATGAAATAAATACAATAAAATTGAGAAAATTAAAAGAGGGAAGAAGCTATGTAGAAAATATAAAATTGTAATAAGATACGGAATAGAATATAAAAATGAGCATGAACTTGAAATTGTGTCTGCACGAAGAAATGTAACCCTGGATTATGCTGCTTTCAAAAAAGATGTTTTAATTGTGTTTTTCTTTTTGTGAAAACTCAAATAAAATTTACAAAAATAAAGAGTGTTACATGGCAGGTTGTTTGTATTAAATGAGTAATCAAAGGGGAAACAAATCAAATAGCTAAAATCGGTGATAAATTAAATACCATCAATTTGGGGCAGTAGTTAAAGAAGGAATTCTAAGGAACTATAGGAGTTCTAAACCTCCCTTGGGTGTGAAGTTAGCTGAATGACCATTGACCAATCTTAGTCCTTTGAAGGAGGTAGTGACAAACCACTGCTGAAAATCTTGCCCAAAAAACAATAAAGACTTGTGCATGTACACTGAAGAAGAACCTGATTCAAAGAAAGTAATAATAATAACAATAAATATAACTGGAGAACAATCCTGATTATTGGTGGGGGTGTTCTTTAAAATCTGCCAAGGCCTGTTGATAATCTAGTTGTATTTAGCTTTATTCTCCATGAAAAACAAGCCCCTCCCCAATCCTCTGAATATTGTAGCTTCAAGGCTAATTTTATCAAAAATGATTGGTAGGATGATTGAAGGAAGTTTTTGTTCATGGATGCTTTTAAAATGCATAAAACCTAAAAGTACTGTGAATTCAAATAATGTTAACATAAAATTAAAATAAACCGCTCAACTGAGAGACAAGAAACCTGTTCTATTTGTTTGTGCAGATGAGGGTTACTACTTTATAATGTCATGGCTGTGAATTAGAGAAATGAAATTCCTAGAATTTTTGAAACTTATTAGGAAAACTACTGGGGTTTTGGGGGGGTGGGGGGTGGAGTTTAATTTGGAGGGAATTTTGGAGGGAAATTGAATTTAGTTTGAGCACCCTTTATGAATGTACAATCATTTGGTTACCTATGAAATGCATGACAGATAGTTTGGTTTGTTCATAAAAGTATGTTTGATGTACAGTATAAAATTGAAAATTATGGTTTATTCACTCAATAAATGTAAATTTATATTTTGAATATACTTTAAAAAGTTTTTAACATGTTACAACTGGTATTACAAAGTGGTATATTCTAAGAAATCTAGTACTATATCTCTTTTATGCCTTTGTAGGAAAAGGAAGCAAGTTCAGAGTAATGAAAATACAGGAAACCACCAATGTTGCAGGAAAAAAAAGTGTGCATTCTGGACATATATCAAAAGTATTAATTTTTAGAAAATGAGAAGGAGAGAGGCACAGACCAAAAAACCTCATTTTGTCACATGAAATATTTTCTAACCACCTTCCTTTTTCTGAAGATGAGGTGGTATACTTACTAACAGTTTCTAGTTTTTCCAATCCTTTATTTTTAATTTTACAGTAGACTTCTAAAAGCTGTCTTGTCTTGATACAGGTTCTTCTATTCTTTCACATGTTAAGTTAGTTAAACACAGAAATAGTGCATCTTCAAAAGACCTTCACATTATAATCATTGCATAAAAATGTAAAGAAAAATATTTGAAAATTTTTTTATTTTGTGATGAGAAAGTCCTCGGGAGAAAAATTATATAATTTTTTCCCAGGCCTCCCTATGTCTTACACATTTACTTCGTTTTAATAATATGGGAGATTTTGCTAACTTTCATAACATTACAATCCTGGGCTTTCCAGTAAAAATAAATGGAGATTTGGGGTAGTTTAAAGGACAATGTTCCTCCTACAAGCACACAATTAAATTACAGAATTCACAGTAAATGTGGATAGCTTTTGAAGGGAATTACTAAAACTTAAGGAAGATAAAAGTTACCAATGGTTGCTATCCATGCCAACATAGTAGGTATGCTTTTCTGGATCACCACTGTAGTAGCATTCCATATGAATCTGAAGAATCATTGTTGGAAACCGGATGTTGTAGTAAATAAGCCCTTAGCTTTATCAAGAAGATCTTTCCCAGTTTCTAACATGCATTTAACTTCTTGATTTGTTTCTTTCCAGACGGTACTGAAATGCTTATTAGGGCTTCTTGCTCTTGGAGTTATCATTACAGCCATAGTTGTTCCAGTAGTTTTGCTAACAAGGGATGGTAAGTTTAATCATCACTTCCTATTTTAGTATAGTAAAAAAAAAAAAAAATTGAAACTCTGCCTTCTAAAGCCTTCTTCCAGAGCCTCTTTAACTAAAACAGAGCCAAAAAATGTATCTGGTGTTATATAAATCAGGGTTGTAAAAACTTTGAAAATAAAATATTTTTAAAAATAATTCAAATAATTCAGTGTGTTTGTTATAGCTTGAACACAGCATCTGTCTGCTACTTGTTAAAGCAGCCTTTTTTTAGTTTCTGTGTAAATCTGACAAAGGGCAGCTGTTCCAATAAATCATTGGATGTAATGCTACACCTTTAAAGTTATTGATATAGTTTTCTTTGTAATATATTTTCAAATAATATAAGAAATAGGTTGTAGAAATAAGAAAACCAGATATAAATAGAGAAATGCAGGTGGATGAGCAACAAATCTGACACATAAAATTAAGACATTCTGAACGTAATAAGAAACTTTCAGTATTATCAGATATTTCATGTCCATTTTCTGGTCAAACTTCATGTATACCTGTTAAACATTATAGTTGAATCAAATTATTTTTATAACCATAATGCCAGGTGCAAAATTTAAACTAAATTTATTGGTTAATTATATTAATCATTGAAAGAAAATGATAAATAGTGAATAATTCATTTTACCAATATTATAAATTATGTATTAAAATATGAGCTCTAAACCCCAAATATCTCATGTGATACAATTCTTTGTATAAGATTGCAGTTCAAGAATAGATTCCAATTAAAATTAAATTCTCATTGGATCTGCTTTTTCAATACAAAATTATTCTGGACATTGAAGGCACAGCACCACAATTTAATGAATCATTTTTCTGAAAAGCTTTTTTCAATAAAAGGCATATAAAATCTAAGCAGCTGTGCTGATATTAATAGTTTAGATTTAAACAAACTCTTTTTGTCTCCTTGGGTTGTTTTAATTTTTTTTATTAAAGATTATAATTGCAATAGTAAAATCAATTTAAATTTAAATTTTAGCCAAAACGGTATTAAGAGTTGTTAACCTAATCCTACGTAGCTTTTTCTCTGGTAATATCACACTACTAACTAGAGCATACAAAACATTTGCTAGACCAATACTTGAATACAGCTCATCAGTCTGGAACCCGCATTACATATCTGATATTAGCACAGTTGAGAAAGTCCAGAAATATTTCAAAAGAAGAGTTCTCCACTCCTCTACTTGTTACAGAATACCTTATGCCACCAGACTCGAAATTCTAGACCTAGAAAACCTAGAACTACGCCGCCTTCGGTCCAATCTAAGTATAGTATATAAAATTATACATTGCAATGCCCTACCTGTCAATGAATACTTCAGCTTTAACCATAACAATACAAGGGCACACAATAGATACAAACTCAAGGTAAACCACACCAAACTTGATTGCAGGAAATATGACTTCAGCAACAGAGTGGTCAATGTCTGGAATACTCTACCTGACTCTGTGGTTTCTTCCCCAAACCCCCAAAACTTTAACCTTAGACTGTCTACTATTGACCTCACGCCTTTCCTAAGAGGTCTGTAGGGGGCATGCATAAGCGCACCAACGTGTCTACCATCCCTGTCCTATTGTTTCTTTTATTTTTCTTATATGTATCCATTTCATGTATTCATAACTATGTTTATACTTATACCTATTATCTTATAATTGCTTGACTAACTAACTAACTAACCAACTAAATAAATAAATAAATAAGAAAGAATAAAAAGCAAAGGAAAAAGGACATAGAAGATAGAAGGTAAATAAAGTAAATATAAATTATAAATATAAAAATGTGATAAAGAATTTCAACTGGAGAGATCTATGAGAACAGCCTTTTCTGCTGTGGCTGCCATCCTTTTGGGACACCTTTGCCAGAGGTGAGATATACCTCCATCCTTCTGGCCTTTCAGAAGGGCCTTAAAACTTGGTTCTGCTTTTAATTAAAATCTTTAGTTCCCTCTAGAATCCAATTTTAAAAATTGCTTATCTCTATTATGTCATAGAAAAAATTCAAATCCACTTTCCCCAAGGAAGAAATTATGATTAATTCCCAAATTTTATTGCAATTTAATCCATTTATAACTTTCTAAAATCCAAATTTTAATTAGTTTTTTACTGGGTTGGGTTTTTTTTACAGAAAAATCATTTCTAAGGCTTGTAGTTAAGTATTTTTTTTCTTTAAGGATTGAAGGCAGAGTCACTCAGTATTTTCAGATTTCTCTATTCAAAGATCTCCAATAGCTGAAAAATAGTTTATACCAAATTTCCAAAAGTGATTAGAAAAATAAGATGATTAGAAAAGAATTTAGCATGTTTTTAAAGGCACTGATCATAATCTGAGCTAGATAGTTATTCCCTCAATTCCCAGAAACTCTTAAGTCCACTGGAGACCACTGTTTTACCGTCTCCTGGTCAGAAGCTTGGAGCGCTTGTAGGCAATCTCACATCCTCTTTTATCTAGAGAGATTCAAAGAATCTATCTATTTACTGGCTATTTTTTCTTTGCTACATTTGTCACCTTCATTTCAGTCTTCCATTTCCTTCTCCAGGAGTCCCGCATTGGAATCAATGTTTGGTTCCTAGCAACTGCCTCAACTAGTCTCTGCAGTTTTCTTGGCAGGGTTTTTTTTTTTTTTTTTGTAGCTGTTTGCCATTATCTGCTTCTTCCTAGGTCTGAGAGAAAATGAGTAGCCAAAGTCACCCAACTGGCTTTGTGTCTAAGGCAGAACTATAACTCTCGGTGTCCTGGGTTCTAGCTTTAACTACAGTCTCAAACTGGCATTCGGATAATTGCATTACATTTAGAATATTTATACATTAAGATGCTCTGTACCAGAGCCTGGGGGCCAGATCGGGCCTGTAGGGTGCTTAGATCCAGCCTGTGAGGTCACCCTGGAAACATTGAAGGACTGGCCCGCGGTGACTCTGCCAGCAAAAACAGAGCTTGGGAGGGGTGCCCAAGGCCTTCCCGAGCTCTGTTTGCTCTGACAGAGGGTTGCAGGAGGCCATCGCAGGCAAAAACAGAGTTGGGGAGCCCATTTTCGCTGGCAGAGCATTCGGGCCACCGTGACATTGAGCTAGCCATGCCCACCCTGGCCACGCCCATCCTGGCTCCTCAAGGTTAAGCATAACCCTGATGCACCCCTCAATGAAAACGAGTTTGACACTCCTGCTCTATACTAAAACTGGAAAGAGGCCGAAATTCAGGCTCAGTTATTCAGAAATTTTGCTCTGAGCATATAGGGTGTGGAGAGCCAGTTTGGTCTAATGGTTAAGTCACTGGGCTAGAAACCAGGAGACTGTCAATTCTAATCCCACCTGAGCATGAAAACCAGATGGGTGACCTAGAGAGAGACATTTCTCTCAGCCCAACTCACCTCAGAGTTTAATGTTGTGGGGAAAATAGGAGGAAGGTATTCAATATTTTTACAGACTTTAATTAGTTGTAAAAATAATAAAGGTGGGATACAATTGAATAAAATATGATGCTAAAAATGAATCCATAAAAAATGAATCCACTTGTAACATAAATTTGATCTCATTTTTGTTATATCAGATGAAATTGGTTATTCATTACTGTATATTTAACTTAAATCAGTTCAGTAGCTATTTATTAGAATTTGTATAACATTACACTTATTAAACGTCAAATCCTGAATGAATTTGTAGTCAATGAACATTCACAGTTCCTGTGTGTTTTAGAATTTATTATCCTTGTGAATTTTAGAATTTATTGTTCACGAGAATGTGTGGATCTGTAAAGGAATCATTGAAACAGCTTCTTACAGAGTGGAACCTTCTTTTTGTGTCTTATATATGAAACTGTGACAGAAACTTGGCATATAGAAAAAAAGGGAACTTATCTTGTTTACCATATATACCGTGTCTCAGTAAAAGTCTACTTAAATCTCTTATCTGAAAAGTTATAAACTTTTCACAGCTGATGAGATTTTATTAGACTTTTATTACTTTTATACTAAAGTTGAACTTTTGTCTTTTATTATGCCTGTTTTTTTTAATGATTGATGACTCCTGGTGTTTCTGAATGAATCTGTGATCTGAATGATCTCTGATTATAGGTAGTCCTTGACTTATGACTGTTTAATGATGGTTCAAAATTACAGTGCCCTAAAAAAATGACTTATGACCCATCCTTGAAGTTATTACATATTGTATCACTTCTGCTGTCATGTGATTGCAATTTGGGTATCCCATTTACAATGCAGCATTGTGCAGTCATGTGATCATGACTTGTGACCTTCCAGCTGGATTCTGACAAGCAAAGTCAATTGGAGAAGCCAGATTCATTTAATGACCATGGTTAATGACTTAATGACCATGGTAAAATAATCATAAAACCAGGTCCAATTTGCTTAACAACTTAGCATCACTTAATGACTGAAATTCTAGCCCCAATTGTGGTCCTCAGTTAAGGACTACTTTTAGAGCCTCTTTAGAGAAAATATAGAGTTACAATTAATTATGCCAATAAGCCATGGACTTCATTGCCTATACATGATGCTTTGAATTTATAGGCAACTTTGTTTCTCAGAGCTCATGTCTACAGCTGGCTTCCTCACACTTTTTTTTCTGCAATACCTGTTTATTTTGTTGTATTCTTTCTTGCCCTTTTAATAGAATTGGATTTTACAGCTTTTTTAAAAAAAATACTATAAGCTGAGAGATAAAATTATAGAAGAAAGGCAGAATATAATACTGTAATTTTTATTTTATGTATGGATAAATAACATGGTACAATAAAAGCTGTTATTAGATCCATACAATTGATGAAGCTGCTAATTTTTAGCAAAGCCTCTCTTGGGAAATTGAGTGAAAAGCCACCTTCAGATTGATAAAGCAGCATATAGAAATTACTTAGCAAAAATATTTTTTATTTTTTTATTTTTTATTACTTTATTGTTTCAGAAACATCAAACAGAAGAAAGATAATTCAGAATTGTTATGGGACAAGAATTACAATAATAATCAAATAAATTATGGAATAGAATCATTAAAGGATGCAAATGGATGGACAGAATGAAATGTGAATGACAAAAATTAAAATAATTTTCAATTATTTCAATTATTTTTATATTTTAATAAATAACTAAATTGAATTGTTAAATTGTCCCATGGAGAGTTTTCTCGTAGCGAGTTGGCTGTGGTGAGTTGGCCATGGCAAGTTGGCTGTGGTAAGTTGGCGAACTGGCCATGGTGAGTTGGCCATAGTGAGTTGGCTGTTGTGAGTTGTCCTATTCCATTACAATAGGGTGATAGGATCCTTCAAGGTGAACCTTACTTTTTTTTCCTTTTGTTTTATTAACAGATTCCGATATCCGCAGAAAATTTTCTTTGGAGGATTATCTGAATAATGATTTTCAGTACAAATCATACAATGTGCGGTGGATGTCAGGTAATGAGCGTAAGCTTTTGAAATGCCTTAGAGCGGTTTCTTTCTTTTTTTTTTTTTACAAATATATGTTGGACAATGAATGAGAGTTGTGTCCAAATCACACAATTTTTGGGAGCATTATTCATCACAGTCTCACAAGATTTGTTTACACAATCAAAAGTGTACATTCTTTCTCAAAGCTTTATGTCAGTGATCAGCTAACCAATCACTAATATGGCTAACAGCATACAAAATTCATCTAAGAAATATTTGAAACAATTGAATGCTGTTTTGCTTCTCATTGTCCCGACAGCCTCGTGATGAGCTTTTATCCAAATTTGATTGTAGCCCTTTTTTCAGTGAGAAGCCCTAGAACAGTGATAGATATATACTTTTTTATATATACTGGACAGCGTTTGAAGATTATCCAGAAATTATAGTCCTTTCTGGCATTTGAGAGTTGCTTCAGCAATGGAACCCCTGTACTGTAGTCAGTACATGGCTTACCAATATGTTCACAAGTAAATTCAGAGTACTATATTGATTGGTGAAGCCTTGGATTGCTTGGCTGCCTATATGAACCTCTCTTCCAAATAGAACTGATGAACTCTGGAAGGGATGTTATGGGTCTGTTCCTTCTGGGTGATTGGGAAAGCAGGAAGAACCCAGGAATTTTTTTTTTCATGACTCTTTGGAGCACTGTCCCCCTTGAGATCTGTGTAGCATCCATCTGCTTAACATTCTGTAAAGCAATGAAAATCTGGCAGTTCCACCAAGCTTTTTGCAACTGGGACTGGGTACAGGGCAGTGTGACTTTTAACATTTTGGTTGTGATTATTATAAGCTCAGTTCCTGGGGTTTTAACTTATTGTTAAAATGCACTGTTTTAGATATTTAACTTTATGCGAACTTCCTAAAACTTGTTGGAAGTGGCAGGATGTAAATCAATCTACAATGGTTATAGACTAAGCCAGCATCTCTAAATATTTCCTTTACTGTAACTGGGATGTGTCCTAGCCAACTAATTAAATCATTTTTGCCCCATCTTCCCCACTTCATTTTTTATAAATTCCACTTCATAAACATGGAGTGTCAGAACTCATTTGAGCAGAATATTCTCCAACCACATAATAGACAATTTAAAAATAAAGAGTTCCCTGACTCATTTGAATTCATACATGATAAATAGACTGTTGTGACAATGAACTTAATAAATAATGCAGGATTTTTTATTGACTTTGTGTGGAGGGGAGAGATAAGGTTTTGTTTATTGGCACTGAATGTTTTCCTGTTTTTCTTCCCTTTTTAGGTCATGAGTATGTCTACACAAATCAGAACAATGTTTTTCTGTACAACATTGATGATGGAAAAGAGACTATAATCTTATCAAATAACACATTAGTACGTGTTTTTTTTTTAAAAAAACTACTTCATCAGTTCAAAAGTGCTCTGAACTGAACATTTTCTTCCTTAAACAATGTTTTATTACTAATTTGTTTTGTTTTATCTACAGGAAAATTGGAATAATTCTGTTGCAATATTGTCACCCGACAAAAAATTTGCTCTTCTGCGATACAGTTATGAGAAGGTAGCAACGATATTATGCTTTTATATGCCGTTTAGTATATTTGTATTGATAAAAAATTGTTTTAATCCTTTACAACAAGGGTCTCCAAACTTGGCAACTTTTAGACTTATGGATTTCAACTCCCAGAATAACTCAGCCAGGCTGCTGAGGAATTCTGGGAGTTAAAGTCCATAAGTCTTAAAGTTTCCAAGTTTGGAGATCCTACTTTACAACGTGAATATGGATTCACTTTGACATTTAGATAGGCGAGGACTTGAATGGCCCTTTGTGGTTATTAAAATCTAGCTAGTTCTCCACACTGCACCAATCTCTTTTCAATGATTTTACTTTAGTAGTTATCTTCTATTTAATTTCTCATTCATTCCTAACTTCTTGACCACTAACACAATGGTTTTTGTAAACAATGACAAATTACTTATTCCATACAGATGGTCCTCAACTTAGAGCCATTTGTTTAGTGATCATTCAGAGTTACAGTGATACTGAAAAAAAACCTGCAATGATTCACTCAACAACTGTGGTAAGAAAGATCGTAAAATGGGCAAAATTCAGCTAACAATAGTTGTGCTGAGAAATTGATATTTTGGGCTCAGTTGTGGTCTTATGTTGAGGATTACCTGTACCTTGTTATTTTACAAAACTTTAGGACTGCAGGCATGAGAGTGAGACAGTACTGAAGAGAAAAAATCCTGGAGAAATATTAAAGATATAAGTACAGTACAAAGAATGCTGAAATTATAAGCATAAATAAAGGATTGTCACACCAGCTGTCCCTATAGAATGATATAAATGATATAAAGTCTTTTCTGAAGGCATCCTATTTGTGTAAGATACCCCACACTTTGCTTTCCTCTGGGGAATATTTTTAGAAATAATTAGAGGTTTATATTCCCAACTGTATAAACTGTATTTAGCCTTACCTATAGGTTGGGAAAACAAGCCAACAAGCCAATTGTGAATTGTGGTTTTCATAATTTTACATTAAAATGGGCAAGGATTTTGAGGGCTCCTAAAGCTGACTTGGGAATTAGAGATGAAGCAAATAATTAAGAAGGCCTAATAACTCTTAATGTAGTTCTGGTTTGATTCCTTGCAGGGAGTTTTGAAGTTAATCTTGGCTTCAAGCACCACCATAGTTTAGGAGTTAGATGGTATTAATTTGTTCTTAATTGAAAACAAAAGCAAATTCTCAGGGCACCTTTAGATGACAGCTTTGCAACAGTTCAGAAGACACTATGAACTTGACCAATATATTGCTTTATTTGAAAAGGGAACAGGGCTGGTTTTTTCTTTTGGACTACTGCAGTGCTGAGGAATGTATTTCCTCTTTGGTTGAAATTTTTGCTTTGCTGATTTCTGAATTTAAGTCAACCGTAATTCCCACTTCTCCCTCAGCATTTCAACACCATGTGCTTGTGAGTAACTCCTGAGAATATATTTCCCCCACTATGACTCCATGAAGCCATAGATATTAGGGTTGTACTGTGATCTGGATTCAAAATAAAACAATGGATTAGAATATGTGTAGCTACATACATCACTCCTTAAATCATGTCTGCCTTTTCACTGCAGGTAAAGCTGCAGTGGTAGATAGAAGGTATATATCATGCATACTCCAAATCGCATTTTTCTCTTTGAATCCAGAACATTATACAACTGTAGTGGTTGCATCTTTTGAAAAACCAAAACACAGATACAGTGGTACTTTGGGACTCATCATTAATTCATTCCAGGAGGTGCAATGAGAACCAAAAATGAGTATCAAACAAATTTTTCCCCTAAGGAAAAATATAGAAAGTCACAAAGTATCCAACATCAACAAGCCTAGCTTGTGCATTGAGTAGCAACCAAACGATGAATACCAGGACAAAATTTTCATATCAAAATGCGCTGAGTACCAAATTTGGTGAATTTCAAAGCAGTTGAATATGAAGGTACAGGGAGTACCCTTAAATTTGCCTCAACTCTTAGTCTGCAAGGACAAATGACTTCCATCTTAGCCTATGGCTGGTTGGAGTCCACAACTCCCAAGGATATATTCCAGTGAGGTACCTGATCCAATCCATCCACCACAACCATTGTCTATTGGAAAGAATGTTGCAAAATGCTGACTTGTTATCATCTCACCTTCACCTAATATTTCCATTCATGTTTTAAATGCAACGAAGGAACAACCCTTTGTAGTCAGATTCTCGTCACAGTAATTGCCCATAATATTCTTGAAATGGTGTCACAAAGAGGTATTGAAAAATAAGATCATGTGTGTGGGAGTGGTAACTATTTATTTGCCTTTTTGTAAACCTGAAATAAGGAGATTTTTTTTCCTTTTCTGAAGTCTGTGGTAAGAGTGCCACTCATTTCATATCACTGATTCTGTTGGTCAGTCTGCATGTTATCAGAATTCCAAGATTGACAAAAAATATCGTTATGATTTAGCTACACATTGCTTTGTGGAGAACTGGTAAAAAGGACCAGAGTAGCGTAGAAATACCCTCAATGTGTTTGTGATAAGGGAAAAAACAATCCTTAATCTTGAAGGGTTATTTTATGTCATAATAAATTATAGTTTAGCAGTATAGCTAAATATTGCATGCTATATTGTAGCCATACACTAGGACTGATATTTATTATTTGAAGTCTTTATTTCTAGAAGGTATCAAGAGGTCTGAGTTAAAGTTGAATTTTGTTTATCATGAACTTATGATCATTAAATGTAATATGGGTAAAATTCATGCAAACAGGACTTTTTAAAAAAATATTAACTTTGAACTACACTCTTGTTTTTTAAGTGTTTTTCTTTATATGCAAATATGATTTTTGCAGGTGTGGAGGCACTCATACACAGCATCATACCATATCTATGATCTAAATAACAGGTCAGTAACTACATTGTCTTTTTGTGATGTTTCAATGGCTTACATTATGTTGATAATTTTATTTATGTTTCTTCATAGAACCATAATAACTGAGAATCCACTTCCTACAACTATCCAGTACATATCATGGTCACCTGCCGGACACAAACTGGTGAGTAAAATACATAGGGTTTTGCTTTCTTATAACTAAGGCTTTCTTGTAATACCAATTCATATATTCCTGTGCACCATTTCTATAATCCAAACTGCAACAGAAATTTCTGGAAGATTTAGAGGAGAAAATGTAAGAGGAGAAAGGAATGTTACAGAATATTTACATAAGGACTCCAGTTCATTTAATCAGATTAAACGTTAAATATACAAAGAACTGGTGTCATATATATTTTACAGTAAATGCGTAGAGGCCCAGTTCAAAGTGAGGCAATTAGGGAGTGGGGGAGCTTAATTCTCTCTTGCCTCCTTATTCTAAAAGTCATCACATGCACATTTTTTAAAATCAGCAATTTGTGAAAACATAAACCTGATTTCCCAGGTTAATCAGAGTGAATTTGACTCTGGGCTTTAATTCACAAACTTTCTAGGTTTAAAAAAAATGGTAAGATAGTTGCATGCTAAATTTTTATGATGTGGTTTAACTCAATGGCATGACAAATTGACAGGAAAAAACCCCCACTAGCAACTGGTTGAATTGGTAATAGAAGGAGAGGGAAGAAGGGACTTGATCTTAGAAGTATAGAATCTTATATATAAACATCAAGCTGCAATGATACTTTAAGGGGCAAATGCAAGAAGTTAATGAAAAGAGAACCAATATTTTAATGTGGAGAAAATTGGATAAAACAATGTTAAGATTTCTTGGGATTAATTAGACAAAATGCAACATTCTAGGTCTTTCTTGTAAACCATTCTGATTTTTTCTTTATTCTTAAAATAACAAGGGTAAAAGAAATTCAATTTCCTGTATTTGGATAGGTGAGAAGAATCTTACAGTATTAAAAAAAAATATCCGTTTAGAGTTGATGTGTGTAGAAATAGAGGAAATGAAAGTAAATGTAATTTGTTTGATCTAAAGTAAAGGTTATAAAATCATTTTCTGATGGTAAATACTGTAATGTTTGTTTATGGCAGGCTTATGTTTACCGTAACAATGTTTATGTGAAAACAACACCAAATGCCAAACCTGTTGAAATCACTGAGAATGGAGCCGAAAACAAAATTTTAAATGGATTAGCAGACTGGGTATATGAAGGTAACTGTCATTGAAAGGGGGGAAAACCCCTTAAGAGCAACTTAATTGCCATCACAAACAGAAATAAAATATTAGGTTTATGTAAAGTTTCTTTTGAATTCACTGCTTGGAATGAAGGGGGGGGGCAACTTCACCTTTGAGTCACATAACCCTTTCTAGCTTTCAAAACTCCCAGTGAAACAATCCCAGTGAAAGTGTTATCTGGACAGGGACGAAGTAGCCTCAGAAAACCGAGAAAGAGCCTTAGAAAATTTGATACCCTTTAGAAATACAGCTGCAAAGCATCAAATCCAACACAGTGTATTCTTTATTTGGACAAAAAAAGCCCTCCCCAATGGCTTATGAAATATGTCTTGCCTTGGTAATAGCTGTATTTTGGTAATAACTGTGGATTGGCCTATTAAACAAGCCATATTTCATATTTTACCTCCTCTTCTTTTCTCTTTCATTCACACATGATTGATGAGTAGAATGCTTCCAAACAGTAGAAAATTACTCTCTTCCTCTTGTGTTTTTTTTCCCTGGGATAATAACAACACAATCCAGAATCAAACCGAAGTATTGCGATCAAAGTAGGTGATAAAAAGAAATATATGTATGGTGAACCACAGGTGAACTTTCAATACCATTTTTATTAAAGAAATGTTTAACGAAGTAAAATCATAAAAGGAAATAAAGATAATAAGAATAGTAAATAGTGAAAAAAGAAAAGAAAGATGATTAAAGAAGCAGCTTCCAATCTTACTGATAGTGGTTATAGATACATTTTTACTTTGCTGTCTTTCTCTAAGGTTACATCCTCACCACAGCTGAATCTTTCACAAGAAATACAGTGTTATTATTATTACAATATTATTTATAGTTTGTGTCACATATACATAATCAAGAGATAAAATTTAACATTATTGCCATTTTTTGGAGTGAAATATGCTTCCTTCTAAATTTTCTATAAAATAATCCACATAAATTGGCCAAACATTTCATAGAACGAATACCATACTATATGAGGATTGATTTTACTTTTACGGTTTGAAGAGAATATTTGTAGCTCAGGATTAAACTGTGGGGTCCTCTGAGCTTGGTTGTTTTCTTGCAGATATGTCATTACCAAACTAGATTGCATTATTGGTGCACAGTTGCACTCCTAGCTTATGTGACCAAGCAGCCTATTGATCAAATAGGGATACTATCAAATATCCCCAACCATTAACACCAAGAAGAAAACACTGAACATAGATGGAAGCCCTTCTTCCATCTAATATAGGGTATTAAATAAATAGCTAGCAGTAGACATTTTCCCATGTGGTTCTTAAAGATAGAAGAACTGCTTTTATATCAGAATCTGATATCCATTTTTAATGATCCTCTAGCTCAGATCATCTCCCATGAGGTCAAAATAAGAGAAAAAAATATCCAGTTGTGCATGTAACCTCCTGGTGGAAGATTATATGAAGAGTTGGTTGTAATATTTTTTTTCTGTTCTTAATTTCATGAGAAATGGTCAGAGCTACAGGACCATTAAAATGGATTAATGAATTCAAATCATCCTGAAAGGCTAAAAATGCACAAGATTATTTTAAATGTTAATTTAAGCCAACAATATACAATAACTCATTCTGGTCTCAGTGGATATCACTGCAGATTTAATTAGTAAGAAAGTAAACCATGTGACATTTTAAAAAGTTTCTTTTATTAATTCAAACTGGACAATTTGCAGGGGCCTAAAATTTAGAGAGTTGCAAATTACTTTGGGTCTGAATACTTTGAGGGCATCTCTAATAGACAGGCAGTTCAGGATAGAACTAGTACAATTGTAACTTGGCATATGTAACTTGTCTAGACCAAGAATCAGAAACTGAAACATGACTCCTATAATTATAATTACCTCATAGTTACCTGTTCCTGTTTATTTCTCAAGGTCTCTTGGAAAAATGCATCTTCTTGTATTTTTTTTCTGATGATTTCCTGTTAGGTATTCTGCCTCACAGAAAGTGGCAGAAACTTGAATTGAAGAACTGACTTCTTAGGCCTATTATATTTGTTGAGAGATTTGGCACATCTCCCACATACTAGAGGAAGATTATTGCTTTGCTTGTTGTTTTTTATAATTAGCTTATAAAAGTTTTTATAGAAGTTAAACAGAAGGAAAGGCAGTGCATAGCTTTGCTTAATCCCCATTGAATTAAGATTTCACTAAATATCCTATCTAAGCTGCATTAAAGTATTTCCATGTTATATTTTAATAGCAACAGCTGTAGATTAATGAAAGAGTTTTCCAAACTCTTCCACCATCTGTCTCTAGGGATAGAACCAAAAGCTGATTTTTAAATCAAAAAGATAACCCAAAGGATATTTGCAGAATAGTTGAATATTCCTTTGCTAAATGTTGACCCCTAAAAGGTTTCTTACATAAAATGTATTTGTAATGTTCAAAAATGAATGGAGGAATTCTTAGTAGTCGTTTTATATTTCTTTTATGTTAAAACTGTGATAGTATTCCAGGCAAGATGGGTAGAATACAACTTTAACAAACAAATAAACAAATGAATAACTATTCCAGTTCTGAAATATACTAGATCACACGTTTTTTAATTATTTCAAAGGGTTTTTCAGCTGTCAAATTAGCATTTGCTCTGTAATGGAGTCACAGGATCAAATGGTCCTGGTTTAATTGTAAAATATAATTTAAGTTAGGATGCGACAACAAGCTAAGGCAAATCATAAGTAAAAGCTTCTTATTTATTCTTACCTTATTAACTCCCAAGAGACACATGAAGAAGAAGAAATGCAATATGTGAATTTTTTAAAAAACAGAAGAACAATTATTCTGTCAAAAAAAAAAAGGAGTGCAATTTGGGTATCCTGGCAACGCTTGATGTAAATGCCAGTGTGAAAAAACACTGTCATCTACTGGAGGATAGTGGCCCCATCTTTTGCCAATAACATTGATAGCTCTTCACTGCATATACCAGCCAGTATATGGGAACACCATTTTGTTACTCTTTATTAACCAGGCAGAGAATTCCCCGATTTAGATGTGACCTCTTTTCCACATTGGCCTCTGGTCTCAAGTTCAGTAATCAGAAATATAATTAAACAATTTAAACCAGCTCAGATTTTATTATGTATGTAATAATAAAAATTCTTTGGAATGGTGGGTCCCAGTGCTAGTTTCTTGGCAATAGGTTGTTCAGCCATGATACCAAGTGATTGAGAGTTTGACTGTTATAATAAAAATATGTAAGAAGGGCAAAAGATAACACCCCACCAGACGAGGATGTAATTCGGAAAATACTAGATTGTGCAGAGATGGATAGATTGACATTAAAAATAAAGGATAAAGAAGACAGAATATTACTTAACATGGAACAGATTTTACAAGTGGCTAGAGATAAGAGGTGGAAATTAGATTAAGAAAGTCTTATGTAAGAATTAAATACAAAGAGGGTTGACAACATGACAACATGTTGATATAATTAATAGACCTATGAACAAGCTAATACAAAGAAATTCAGTTAAAACTATTTTGTTATACTATTATTATTATTATTGTTGTTACTAGTATATATATATTGATATCTCTATTTGTTTTTCCCTTGCTGCTTCATAAATGATATGCCCTGACAATACACTGTACTCAAAATGTTTATGAATAAAAATAAAACATATACTAAAAAAAAAAGAAAGGCAAAAGAGATGATTCTATAAACTATTGACAATCAGTTAGCTAAGTCAGGTCAGCAAAATGTATGCTAAATATCAACAAGAAAAACTAATTGATTTGTTTGAATCTGAAGATATTTTGAGGGATGAGCAGGACGATCAATATTAGGCCATGCCTTAGTGCTGCATTGCTTAGTAGAAAATATACCAACTCAGAACAATCTCTGCATGCAACTTTTATTGATTTCAGGTCAGTTACGGTATTTCAAACTAAACTTCAGCATAAATTGTTTAAAATACCACAATTAATACAAGTCTACTCCTGCTGCTCATTAAAATGCATGAAAATACAAGATTAGAAGAGAATATTTGTCCCTTAGGGCTGAACAGTGGAGTCCTTGGGATCTCTGAGCTTGGTTATTTCCTTGCAGACGTTTCATTACTAAACTAGGTAATGAAACATGATGTTACCTAGTTTGGTATAATGAAACGTCTGCAAGGAAACAACCAAGCTCAGAGACCACTGAGGACCCCATAGAATACAAAGGAAATATCCCTAAGGAAGGAGGTTAGACAGGAATGTGTATTGGCTTGTTTTATTCAACTACTATATGTTTCCATACCACCTACGGAAACAATTTCGTCCCATTACATCAGCCAGTCATGCAGGGAAGATGTGCAGCCGATCCCATCAGTTAAAGAACTTTGACTGGTGGGGTCCAAGGAAAAGAACCTTCTCTGCCATTTCACTTGCCCTGTTGAATATTCTGTCCCCTGAGAACCTCTCTGAGGGAGATAGGCAGTTCAAAAATGTGAAAAACATCATAAGTATTGTGTTCTTTACTTAAGTAACTCTATTTTTCATTCCCCCCCCCCCATATTATTCAATTTATTATTGTATGCTGATGGTGCAATAGTTTTTACTTTTTCTAAATGCCCAAAACAGAGAAACTGGAACTTAGATGGGCATTCCATTGAGCAGGTTATGATTTTTAGATATCTAGAAATAGTTTTTTCAAACTCCAGGAAGCAGAAATGCCTGTCTGGACTATATGTATCCCACAGTGAACAGATATCTGTATCAGTTTACGAACTTATTATTTTCCCCTTATTAGGTTCATCTGTTGCAATTAAGTTGTTTTTATCTATAGTCCAAGCACGGGGCTATATGGGGCTCAAATAGGAGCCTGTAACAGCATGATCACTGCAGAAAGGATTCCAACAAAATTTCTAAGTATCTTCCAGGTTACCTGCTGTGTTCCAAATCAGTACTTCAGTGAGAAGCAGGAGTCAGTGAACTTGAATCTATTCTCTGATAAATATATTTATCTACTGGTTAAAACTACATCACAACCCTAGTGGATTGACCCGTGTAATATTGGCAGACAGCTACAAACCTTCCTGGGAAACAACGGTCTCAAAGAAACTGAGCCCGCTGTGGTTTCTTTGGTGATGCCATCTTAACCTTAGAGTCAGATCAAGTTAGACCCATACTAAGACAAAGGGTCTTAGATATAAAAGATCATGTAGAAATTGCTTTCTCTCATAATGTAATTGCAAATGAACAAGGTTTAGTCCCTAAACCAGTCTCTTACTTATATCACTGTTCCTAAATTCAGGAGAGCTTTATCTTTGGTTTGATTTAATGCTCTCTCCACAATTGTCGTGGAAGGGAAATATAAGAAAACTCCACATGAAACCCAATATTGCCCTTGTGATATGAGTACCATAGAAAGAAGATTTTGTGTTCTTCTGTATTGCCGTCAGATGATTACCCCCTTTTTATTTAAATTTCCAGGGCACTCAGATAATCTTTATTTGCAGTATCTATTAAACAATCAAAATAAATGTATTTCTATAAAAATAGCAAAGTTTTGCTACATTATGTGTAAATTTGGCCCACAAATAGTAATTCTTGTTAGAAGATATTTGTGTTTTCATTTTCTTGAATATGTTTTTATTGGACAAGGACCAAAATAAAGTTTCAGTTTGTCTGTCTGCAAATCCAGTGCACTGAAAATCCTCCAGGCTATTAGAAAGTGGATCCACTTTCTAATTTTATTATATTTCTGTATGAATTATCAACCATTCCTTTGAATTCATTAAACAAGCTTATTGCATGCAGGTGTTGCTCACTCTACTTTGTATTAATATAGTTTTTAGTAATGAATGATTGAAAATGAAAAAAATGTTGTATAAACATACTTCTCTTTATAAAGTAATTAGGAAGTCTTCAACATTTATATTGTTATTATCACCTCCAAGACAGCCCATAATAATTGTACTTATTAAAGTGCCTTTTTAGGCATAAAATATTCAGTTTAATTGTTTAATTTGTACTTGTATATTTTCTTACAGAGGAATACTAAGTTTGGGTATATAATTGGAAAGTTATGTTTCTTTGCATTTATTATTGTTCATTATAGATGATATATTTGAAAATGTTATAGTACAAACAAGAAACAATTATCCATAATATTGAAATCTAAGATAAATCAAAGTACTATTTAAAGCCAGATTTTTATAAAGAATAATTTCCATAGCACCGTATTTCTATAAAAAGGCATTTCTGAGAGTTGGCTTAACTGTTTTGGTTGCAAAACATTGCAAGTAATCTGAATTTTAGTTACTGAAGTTCCATTTGAAATTATACATGCAAGTTATTATGAACAATGTTTCAGAGGGAAAAGCCAACCTAGCAACTATTGCTTCAAAAGAACACATTTGCATCTTTTTCAGAGGAAATGTTTGGCACCCATTCTGCTCTGTGGTGGTCTCCAAGTGGCAGGTTTTTGGCGTTTGCAGAGATTAATGACACCGAAGTTCCTCTTATTGAGTATTCGTTTTATTCAGAAGATACACTGCAATATCCAAAGACCATTAAAATCCCATATCCTAAGGTCTGTGTTATTTCTTAAACATAGTTGTTGAGTGGCTTGATTAAGAGAATAGTCACATTTAATCATTTGCTGCTAACAAAAATATTGTCTGTCTCTCCTCAACAGCTTGCTGTGATTACTGTGACTTAAGTCAATAGCATCTGGCAGCTCTGAAGTATTCTATTATCTCTAGGGAAACAGGAAATGAAAGCAATTGAAGGCTATGGAATATCTGAGTTTCTAAGATGATTTGTTGAAGAGCACTTGGGTGATCAATGGCAAAAGGAATACTTCAACTCAATGAGTTGCATAGCTAATAAGGGACTAAGAACTATTAGCTCTGTCATGAACAGGGAGGAGTGGGCTAAGTAATAGCTATTTCTCCTTTGGCAGACAGATTTCCAGGCTGATATATTTGCCAGGACAGATGTCAATTGTTCCTTTTTTTTTTTTTTAATGGAACTATACTTGGTTTCAGTTTTTTCAAACTTTAGAAACTGGTATGCTCTCAATAGTTCCAAGGGCAGTGGTGGCTAATCTTTTTGGGCTCCTGTGCCAAAAATTGTGTGCGCATTTGCATGCTCGCACTCGCGTGCCAGCACCCAGAAAGCAATGCGTGTACCCCCAATGCCCTCTACACATGTGCATGCAATCCCTACCCACCCACCCACTCACTGCCTCTGCCCCCTTACCTGCACTGCGCCTCACAGCTGATTTTCGGCCAGTTTGAGGCCTTTTTTGGCCTCCCAGAGGCTTGAGGGAGGCTTCTGCAGGCTTCTGCAGGTTTTGCAGGCCAAAAAAACAGCCCCGTTTTGTCACTTCTGGTATTTTCAGAAAAAACAGGAAGTGATAAAACAGGCTAGTTTTCGGCCTGCAGAGCCTGCAGAAGCCTTCTCAAGCCTTTGGGAGGCTGAAAAAAGCCTCAAACTGCCCAAAAATCAGCTGTGAGGCGCGCGCATGTGCAGTGAGGTAAATTTGCCTGCAGCTTGCATGCCGGCACAAATGGCTCTGCGTGCCACCTGTGGCACGCGTGCCATAGGTTCACCATCACAGTTTTAGGGTCTTTGCAGAGGCTGTTTTCTCTGATCAGCTCCATAGACTGATCATGTGGCTGTAACATGCCATGGCTAGTCCAGGAAGTGATGGGGAAGAAGTCTGAATGTAGAAAGTATGATACTGGCTTTAAATGTGCTAGAATTTTCAGGGGTTCACCAAAGTGAGGATAAATGTCCCAACTTGTCATGTATTTTAGAAAGTAAATGTAATTTCTTTTCTGGAGTAGAATGAATATGAGTGGGACTTTATTCCTGCTGCCATTCACCTTGGCATGGAGCTTCTGAAGTATGTCACCCATATTCACTTTCAGCAGAATCTTCTTAAAAGATTCTGTCATGGGACATATGTTGCTCTGTTTATTTCTCAGAATCATGTAACTGAAAATATTTGATATATCTTAAAGTTAGTTCTGGAAGTCAGAAAGGCAGTACAATTGTTACAGGGCAAAATTAAATTAGGTTTTTATGCATATTTGCAATTGATTCAACTTAGTCCTGATGAGATTGCTTCCATCATCAAGATTAAAGCTATGGTTTGTTTCAAGATGAAGCAGTTGTGGATCAAAGATCAAGAATAGTTCTGAGAGGAATTTTCATTGGATTGTAACGTAGGAGGATTATTCCCTTGATCAGTACTTCAATTAGATTTGGGGGCACAATGTACTTTTCAATAGAAAGTACAAACAGAGCTGTTGGTGTCCCCCTTGTCATCGTCAGATCATGACCTAATTATTATGAGACTCTCTGGTGCCACTATCCACTGCAAGGAGTCTGAGCTCATTAGATTGGTCCATCCCCAGCAACTGATGGTTCTGGAGAAGCTTCATCTGAAGTCTTGGTTGTTGCTTGGAATAAGGGGGCAGCAGAGACTTTGGTTTGGATTGCATCCTTTGTATTTTACAGAGAAGTTGGGAGAAGAAACATCTAGAGGAGCAGACTCCAACCTTTTGGGCACCAGGGACCTGTTCCATGGAGAAAGGTTTTTCCTTTCCTGGAGGGGACATAGTTTTGTGTACTGCCTGCATCATATGAATGTGGCTTCACTTGTTTGCATGGCCTGGTTGTTGACATGCTATGGACCAGTGGCAGTCCGTGGACTGGGGGTTGGGGACCCCTGGTCTAGAGTGCCATTAAATTCAATGAAGAAGGAACTTGATTGAATATGGGCTAGAGTCACTATTAAGGCCTATCTTGTGGCAGTATGATGGCAAAGCAGCAATATTATCCCACCCTTATTGCAGATTGGCATCTGCAGCCCTATTTCATCCCGTTTACCTCCTGCATAAGCGGGTGCCAGGAATGTTTGGCAGGGATGTGTGAAGGAATTTGCTCAGCATTTTAGATTCATTTGCAGTTTGACAGTGGCCTTGTTTGCAGGTCCAGAGCAGATGCCTAAGGTGAAATCTTGCCCAGATATCTGGGAATGTTTTGAAGCTGTTGGAGCTGAGGAAGTAGACAGAGATGTGAGTTAAACCCCTTCTATTTAGATCTAAGCCACTTCCTGGGGTATGGCATGTGAGTGAATTCTAGTGGTGGTGAATCCTTCTTTGAGTGAGAGGTTTTTTTCCCCCTTTACCTCTTAAGGAAGCTTTGTTCACCATCTCTTCAAGAACCCATCATTGGACCTCTTAATACTGGGAAATTTTTGCTCAATGTATTCTTTTTGAGGGGGGCGATTAAGAAGGTGGTTGTGCAGCATCTTCAAAGGACCATGGATGAAACAGATTATCTGGATCCTTTTCAGTCAGGTTACATTACCTGGGTATGGAATAGATACATCACTGGTTCAATTTTTGCATCCTCTCTGACATGGGAGGATGGTGGTTCCTCCTTTGGGTGGTGCTTGCATTGAGGATGTTCTCCCCACTGAAACTCTAGTGAACTTCCAAATGTCCCTCAAACTTTGTTATGCCAGCATGCCTGGGGACCCACAGGGACAGGTAAACCAGTGAGGTGGCTCCATTGATTAACATCCCTTGTATAAGAGCCTCGGTGGCACAGTGGTTAGCGTGCAGTACTGCAGGCTACTTCTGCTGACTATCGGCTGTCTGTAATTTGGCAGTTCAAATCCCACCAGACTCAACATTGACTCAGCCTTCCATCCTTGCGAGGTGGGTAAAATGAGGACCCAGACTGTTGCGGGCAATATGCTCACTCTGTAAACTGCTTAGAGAGGGCTGTAAAGCACTATAAAGCAGTATATAAGTCTAAGTGCTATTGCTATTGATATATTATTCTTTGTTTTAGCTCTGTTCCTATAGTTCTTAAAAATGGTTTTTAATGATTTAATATTAATGGTTTTAGATATTAGTGAGATGGACAGCAATATAAATTTAAATAAATAAATAAATAAATAAATGATATGCTCATTGTTGATTTTTTCAGAGATTAAAAATTATAAATTAATAATGGACCAGGACTAATGTATGAAATTCTAATTTATTATAAAAGGTATGTTTAGTGTTTTTAGTCTTAATCTGAAAATAGAAAAATGTTTTCTGTAATAGAAATTTTTACTAAGTCAAGTGATGAGTTAACGTTACATTGATCTCTAAAAGAATAATCGTTCACAAAATGTGGGTGGTCATAATGTATACTGTATTGACTGTTTTTACCAACTTAGAAAAATTACATTATTTTTATAAGCATTGAACTAAATCTTCAGTACTGGCTTTCAAATTTTTATCTATGAACCTCTATAAAACACACACACACACACACACACATATATATATATTTTACATTTTGTATTGAGCTTTAAAATCTAACTTCTTTGTAATTTTCTAATTAACATTGCCATTTGTACAGAATCTGATTTAAAATGTTTTAATTTTATCCAGGCAGGTGCTACAAATCCAACAATAAGACTATTTGTTGTGGATATTCTAGCCCTTCCTCAAAAAAATATATCGGAAATTGTTGCACCATCTAGTATAATATCAGGGTAAGTTTTGTTACGGTAAGTGTTTTAGATTATTATTGTTGTTATTTTACAATTATTGAGTAATAATATAAGATTTAAAAAAAACATTCACTTATTGCATTAAAAATCCTGTGGAGAGTTCATTTATTAATATGTGACCTTATTTCCAATATGTACTCAGCTGGATCATTCATTCTTTTTATCATATTTATTAAAACTGCCCAACTCCAAGAAGATTCTGGGTGGCAAATAATAGGATATACACATAATCGTCCAAGCTAAAACACTGTAAAAAAAATTTATATTGTAGTGACAAAACGTGGGTATGTGAAGAGAAATATACAAGTTGAATTACTTGAGAAGTGTGTTTGATGTTGTAGAATATAAAGGATATTACATGCAATGTCAGGGGTGTGCATAAGCGCACAATTGTGCCTACCATCCCTGTCCTATTATCCCCAAATTATTCGTACCTATTTCATGTGTTTATACTTATGTTTATTCTTATTTCTATTATATTGTTAGCATTTGACAAATAAATAAATGAAATAAAATTTTAAAAAAACCACATAAGCAAGGATGAACCACATCAGCTTCCATATTTGAACACATTCTTCAAACACAGAGACACATATACAAATGCTAATATAAATATACTCTCTTTAACTCATATACATACATACATAGTACACACATGGACAGGAAGAGAGGGTGGACCCTTCTTATCTACTAGCTAGGTTGGAAGAAGTCAAAGAATTATTTGTAGGTAAATCTCAACTTTCCAAACCACACTTCTGACTTTTATATTCTGTGAATGAATCATGGTATCAGTTTTGAGTTTATATCCTTTATTTTATCTTGTTCCACCCTGTGCTCCCCTGTTTCTAGTCATAGAATGCTTCCAAAATCTGTAGTTCCTTATTCTATAGAACTAAAATTTGAATTTTATATGTACAGGTAGTCCTCAAGTTATGACCACAATAAAGCCTAAAATTTGTGTTGCTAAGTGAGACATTGGTGAAGTAAGTTTTGCCCCATTTTGCAACCTTCCTTGCCACAGTTGTTAAATGAATCATTGCAGCGGTTAAGTTAGTTAACATGGCTGTTAAGTGAATCTGGCTTCCTCATTGACTTTGGTTTTCAAAAGGTGGCAAAAAGTGACCCTGGGACACTGCCATGGTCATAAGTATGAAGCAGTTGCCAAGCGTCTGAATTTTGATCAGGTGACTATGGGGATGCTGCAACGGTCGTGTGAAAAATGATCATAAGTCACCTTTTTCAGTGCTGTTATAACTTTAGAAAGTCACTAAATGAACTGTTGTAAGTCGAGGACTACCTGTACAGTACCTATTGTAAATATCGAATGGCATATAAATGATAAGCATTCAGGTATAGAATTCAAGTGAACCTATATAGAAAAATGCTGAGTAGCCCCCCCTCTCTCTCTTTTAATCTCCAGGGATCACTACTTGAGTGTTGTAACATGGGTGACTGATGAAAGAATTTGTCTGCAGTGGCTTAGACGGATTCAAAACTTTTCTATGCTCACCATCTGTGACTACTCTAGCGATGTGTGGCAGTGCCCAAAGGTACGAGTGGAGATGGATTTTAGGAGGTTGAAGGGTGAAAATTAGCTTGACAGTGCAAACAGACAATTGTAGCCTTCTTTTTGTTAGTGGGGAGTGGGGGTTGGTAGGTGGAGTAAATAATGGAATTGGTGGAAAGATGCTTCGGGAAACGTGACTTAGCAACGGGAGAGGCAGATTTGTGGAGTCCTGAACTTCATTGTTTTCTTGCAGATAGCAATAGCACTTAGACTTACATACCTCTTCAGTGCTTTTACAGCCCTGTCTAAGAGGTTTACAGAGTCAGCACATTGCCCTCAATAATCTGGGTCCTCATTTTACCGACCTCAGAAGGATGGAAGTCTAAGTCAACTTTGAGCCTGGTGAGATTCGATCTGCCAAATTGCAAGCAGCCGGCAATCCGCAGAAGTAGCCTGCAGTACTGTATTCTAACCACTGTGCCACCAGGCTGTTAGATGTATCATTACTACACTTATACTTATTATCTTGTAAACAATTGGCAAATCAAATAAATAAATAAATAAAATAAACTAGTTAACATCATCACTGTTACAACCTACAATGCTACCTACTAATGAAATACCTGCAAGAAAAAAAAACCTCAAGCTCAGGAATTGTCAAGAATCCCATGGTTCAACCCTGGATTACAAATATTCGCTTCTAGAGGCAGATTTCCACAGTAATCAGCAATTTAGGCTAGTTACCAAATTTAGCCCTATCTGAACCATGAAGGCTTGGCAGCAGAGATTTTCACCCTTGTCCCCTAGAGTCTGTAAAATGCCCTGCATGGCCCTTCTTTTGAAAACAACTTGGAAACTGTGGTTGGTACAAAATGTAATGGCCAGGGTATTAGCAGGTAAGCACTGCTATAATCCTGGTTCTCTGGTTGCTTCATTGGATATGAACAGGTTTCTGAGTTGAATTCAGAATGCTTTAAAAACATACGTAGCTTGTTTCCTGTCTACATAAGGGACTACCTCCTTCATATACATAACGGCTCATGCATGCAAAACTAATGGGTCTATTTAAAATAGGGATTCTGTAGAGGTTGTCTTTTACAATTCTGTTTTTAAGATTTTAAGGTGACCGGGTTGCTGATATTCAACTGGGTAGAGTTTATGTACTTATATACATGCTTTTGTCTGGGTATTGTAATTCCCTCAGTCTTGGGAGCGGGGTAGTGAATCAATCAATCAATAAAATAGTCGTCTATTTGCAGAAAATTCTGAAAATATTGCCATTCATCTTGAAAGAGAGAAGAGCTAGATTAACAGACAGAGGTTACTTAAACAATGACGATCTTTCTCTTTTTTTCAGAACAGGGAGCATCCTGAAGAAAGTAAAACTGGCTGGGTTGGCAGAGTAAGTACAGTGATTTAAGGATCGATTTACATGTTGTATGGCAGCCAAGCATCCTTTCCTGCAGAGAGACCACAGCTGAAGAAATATCTTACAGAGAGGAAAGGGAGCATTTCATTGTACCTGCCAGCTTCTTTTCTATCAGAAACATCTATACTCTTTTCTTCCTTGCCACATTCCAGCCCCGTATTAGTAAAATAAAAACAAGCTTCGAACAGTGTTAGAAATATTTCTTAGCATGTGTATATATGTGGGTTTCACGGCAGGAAAAATAACTAGTTGAGTAGAATTAGAACTTCTATTTCTATGTTGCTTCTTAAAAGCACTTGGCCAACAAAGAACCTGGCAATACTGTATGTTACTATTTTGTAATGTATAGTTTAATATACAGACACAAAGTTAGCTCTTAATACCTGTTTTTCCCCCCAAGTAAAATGTTGAGGACTTTTTTCAAGGTTATTTAGCATTGCAATTATATCTCCATCCCCTGATGTGTGAAATACACTGGCTTCTCAACTTTTTAATTAACCCTGTAACAAAGTCTTTATTATAGTCTTTGTTATACTTTGTAGGTCATATAGAACCCACATCTCTCACACATTTCTGTTTGCAATCCCTAATTTTCTAAAAAGGATATAATGCCTTTGCAGTCTTTTCTAATTCTGTTCAAGCAGTAGTCAAAGAACCAAACATTGTCCAAGATGTCAAGTTATAGTTATATTAATCAGTTGTTACAAGTGCACATGAAAAGATGAAACTGGATAGGAACTCAATTTTTGTGAGATATCATATCAATTTATTTTTAAATAAATTGCTAGGACTTCATGTTAATGAAATTAATGTAGATTATTATTTGCTGATATGGATATTCATCCTGACGTTGGCAATTTGTTCTTCTCTGATGGGATTCAGCATAGCAAACATTAATATTTCTGATTTCATATTTAAGATTATCTTTTGTTGGTTGGCATGTTTAGTTAAAAAGTAGTACATTGCTTCAATATATTAAGTGGAACCTGGCATTTTCATATCTAATGCCTACAACTAGTAGTTGTTCACATTTATCCTCAGCTTACAAACATTTGTTTAGTAACTGTTTGAAGTTACAATGGCACTAAAAAAACTTATGAAAATTTCCCACGCTTATAACCATTGCAACATCCCCATGGTCATGTGATCAAAATTCGGATGCTTGGCAGCTGGCATGTAATCACCTTCTGACAAGCAAAGTCAACAGGGAAACCAAATTCACCCAACAACCATGTTACCAACTTAATAATGCAGTGATTAACTGAACATCTGTGGCAAGAAAAGTCATAAAATGGGACAAAACTTACTTAACAACTGTCTTGCTTAGCAACAAAAACTTTGGGTTCAATTGTAGGTTCCCCCATTGAGTGTTCTTTGCCTTGCACAGGAGAATGGAGCTGGAAAGCAAGTTAGTGGAGTGGGGAGAGAGTGGGGATTTTGCAGTATCCTTCCCCTGGAGTGGGGTAGAAATGGAGATTTTGCAGTATTCTTCCTCTGTCACACCCACCAAGCCATGCCCACCAAGCCATGCCACACCCATCAAGCCACACCATGCCCACCAAACCATGCCCACAGAACTGGTAGTAAAAAAAAATTGAATATCACCACTGGACAGTGCAACCATCCTAAATACATGCCAGTAGCCAAGCACCTGAATTTTGGTCATGTGATCATGGAGATGCTGCAATGTTTGTAAGTGTGAAAACCAATCAAAAGTGACTTATTTCAGTGCTATTGTAACTCTGGATGGTCACTAAACAAATGGTTGTAAATCAAGGTTGTAAAATGAATAGTTGGGAACAGGTTTATAGGAACAAGGAGTTGTACAATAACACCACTGAATCTATATGTAAGAATAATGCTTTTTTCCCTTTATCATTTGCTTAAAAAAGTCATGATTTAAAAAAAGCATCAAATATAGACCTACCCTGCAAAATAATGGAAGTTAGTATTTTCTGCTGTCAAACCTGATCAGAAAAGAAAGACCTTAATATAGCTAACACATTTTAGCTCTACATGATAAAATCTCAGGAAGCAACGTGATAAGCAGATTTTTTATGGTGTGTGAACAGTGAAGCAAAAAGAAAGGAAAGAAAAAAAGGAGGAGTATAAAACTACTATAAAATAGGAAAAAATAGGTTAACATTATTATTGTCATACTTGTTCCACTATGGTTTATGTGCTCAAATAAGTCAGTTGCATCAAGAAAATACAAGCCATCTTATTACTCTATAAGACAGATTACCTGAAACATCCCTTGTTTTAAATGTCCCTAAAAATTTGATTGGGATAGAATCAAAAATGGGTAGAACCAGGAATAAAATAATTTGGATGGACATGAAGCTCTCTTCGTGTTGTTGAGCTACATCTCCAACTCCCATCAATACTAGCCAACTAGTGGAAATGGATGCTATAATGCTTATTCGTTACAAGAAAAAACGTTTTTAATTTTTTTAAAAAAAATTAAAAAAAATTTAGAAAGACAAAATTAAACTAAACAAAACATTTAAAAATGTTCATTAAAAAGACAAAAAGACAAATATGTATATTGTCCCCCCATTTGAATACTGATAGATGGATTACAATAATAATAGTATGGCATTTTTGAAGAAAGACATTCCAATAGATTTTTTTTATTCAGTTGTATTTCATCTCTTTACCAAGTATTTAAGATTAAGTGTATATGACACTCTAAATATTGTTGTTGAATGCAATAAATAAGAACAAACTCAATTCCAAGAATGAACTATTGTTCCAACAGCTCCAATAAGGTAACAATGAGCAATTTGTTCACTGGTGATTTTATGAGGATGTTAATGGCTTTTTAAAGGTAATTGCTTGACATGTTTTGTGGAGTTATTCAAATGGATATTAGCGTTCTACTGTACTGAAATAAATTTGTTGTCTGTAGTAAATTATGAAGCGTGAAAAAGATGGTTTTTACTCAGTTGGAATATTTAATGAGATTAAATTCAAGTAATTTAAATTCAAGTAACTTCAAGTAAGATGGTAAGATGGTTGCAAAAATGTTCTCTGCATTTATCAACAAAATAGCTTTCCTCAGGCAAAATGTCTTCCAGAAAAAAATATGTCAATTCCTAAAAGTTTTCTAAAGACAAACTTAAAACTGCTGACATAGAGACACTTGAAGGTAACTTAGAATTGGCCCCCTGACTCAATTTTGTGAGCTAATCAATTTGAAGATTGCTGTGTGAGTGATTAAGCCATTCAAGCTATGTGATATAAATGTGTCAAGAGGATGACAAATACAAAACCAGTTTCAACTGAGAAGTTTATTTACACCACTGGTAGAACAAGATGTCAATGATTGTGGTTAATGCTAATTTCCCCAATTCATACATTATTGAGACAGTTTAAGTGCAGTCATAATATTTTTTTAAAAAGAAAGTAGAAAGAGGTCTTCATCTCACCATACTAAATTGAAACCCTAACAATTATTCTCTTGGTAAAGAATATCAAGCACTAAATGAAATGAAAAATAAGAGAGACACTAGTTTAATATTGTTTCAAACAGCCCTGTAGCACTGCAGCCTGCATGCCACTCTGAATACCAAGGAATTTCTGAATTTTGATATTTTGATTAACAACTAGAATTACCTTAAGAAGTGGGGACTGTGTAAGGACAAAATAATAGGACTTCGTTTCAGAATTCAAGTTATTTCTTAGAAATAGGGAACTGCCCTCAATAGATACTGCATTAGAATTTAATTTCTTTTGTCTTTGTGTATTAAGTCTTGTTCTCTTTTACTTCCATTTTTGTGGACATGTGGACATTTTGTGCAATATCAGATTGAGTTGAATTTTTTTTTTCTTTGTTAATTTCTTGGGAGCTGATGTGTAACTTGAAAATCTCCCCATTCCTGAGATAAAAATATATTTTTGAGTCATTTTTTAAAATACAATGTGATTTTGTTGTTTATTTATTATTATTATTATTCAAATTTACATATTTGTAAATATTCATTTGTAATTGAACTGTCTTTCAAAGGGGGGGGGGGGAGAAACTAAATCCTAATCATGTTTTTGTACTACAAAACAATTTTATGTGCATTATAGAATTGTTTTACTTTTACCTATCAGAAGGCTGTAAGACAATGGGAGCCTAATCTTCAGAGATCATGGTTAGGGGAGTGACAGGTAAAGGACCTTGTGGCATTGGTAACTGAGAGGCAAAAGGCTTCTGGCAGGGTCTTTTTGGTGTTGTCTAGGGTAAACCAAAGAAGGTTTCTGAGTGAGGAAGTTCGAAATCCTAAATCTTTCACATAGACTCATTTATGCCATTTCAAATATAATTTCATTTGTTTTGTAAATAGGTTTCTGTGAATAACAAATTCATTTCCTTGAGATTTGTTAATATACTATTTAGAAAATTTTACTTAAAACCTAACATTAATAAATATAATTAATGATTGACTGTACCAAAATCTAGCAACTTAACAACAGTAACGATTTAAAAATTAGAAAAAGTGACAATTTCTTTGCGTAGTACAGTGTACTTTCTGCAGATATAAAAATATTGAACAACTAGGTTTTGTGCCAAAAAAGGCTGAAGATTATTGATCCAACTCTCCAAGATTTCTGTTGAATGTACGGAATTGCAGAATAGTATTAAATCAATGATATATTCAGTTTACAGAAGAGCGACTGGACAAGCCAGCCTTCTCAGCAGAGTAACATAAGTAAACATGCTCAGTATAAAACAGTTGAACTGAATCTTTTGGTTAAATTTCAGTGGTTGTAAACTTTCAGGTATCAGAACTTGAAACACAAAATTGGGTAGAGCTAGAATCTTTGCATTTCTTTGCTTCCTTCAAACTATTTATTGTTTTGTAAATATTCAAAAGTCTGTATGTCAACAAATCATAAATTATAATTTCATTTTTAATTACCTTCCGTTTTTTATAGTACAAAAACAACAAAAGAAAATAAAAAGTAAAGAAAAATGAATTGTTAAAGAGCCAAGTAATTGCAATTTGCTAATGTTTCATATTGAAGAGTCCTGTAAAAACAGTAGAAACCTATTGCTTTGTTTCATTTATTTTGAAAACATTAGGAATAACTTGACCTTTGGAAAATAATTTGTTTTTTAATCTCTAAACAAAAATGTGATCATCTACGTATTTTTCTGAGAGGTTAAAATTAATAAACCTATGAAATAGAATACTTACTAATCATTACATCTATAAACATGTTATTGTTCTTTTTTGCAGTTTCAGCCATCGGAACCTTACTTTGCTTCTGATAAAATTAGCTACTATAAAATTATCAGTGATTCACAAGGATATAATCATATTCACTACACTGATAGCACAGGCGTAAGTAATGATTATTTGTGCATGTTTCTTTATGTTTGTGCAGGGTTGTTCATAAGGAGGAGCAAACCTGTGTGATGTCATCATTCAGTGCCATGGCTTATGTACTTGCATAAGACATAATGGCAGCAATTTTGTGATAATGTTGTTAGTTTGGAGTTATCAGAGTTTGCTACAGACATTGTTTTGTGTATGTATATGTAACCTTATATTTATGGAGATTCATATTTTATCTAATCTTTATACTTAGAATGTTAAACCTATTACAAGTGGAAAATGGGAAGTAATCAGTATAGCTGCTGTAACAAATAACACCCTGTAAGTATCCATTGATAACTTTTGAATATGTGTGTTCATGCAAATGCATAAATCATCCCTTTCTAGAAATAGCCTTTTCTGTTTGTTCTGGTTTTGTCTGTTGTATTAAAATTGAGACTGGATGAAAGCTTAGCATAAGAACTTTTGCATGGCAATGTTATGCTCCCTTGTCTTTACTATTTATGCTCCCTTGCCATACCGAGTGTGCTGACTTTCCTTTCCTTTATGTCTTTTTGATAAGCCAAAATCTCATGATTTTTCAGATATAAATCTTCTATCCCAATCTTATTAAGGCAAGTTTCTTTTTACATCCCACTGAATTCTATGTGACAAATTAATCATACTAATTTAAGCTTTAAGATTTTTGCAAGACCCAAGTGCCACTAATTTTAGTTGAACTGGGAGCCTATCTGTCAAAATAATCCATGCTCAATGAGTAATATTCTACAATAGAATGGCATTGAGGTACATTGTCTTCTATCCATGATTAGGAAAATATATTCTCTTTCCTCCATTGTCTGCTTTCCTTACATAGGACCCACTGTTAGTACTTTCTCTTTATTAGAATGCAATAAGAAAATGCAACACTGCATCATCAAATAAGTATAACAAATATATACAGAAGCACACATATAAAATGTAGATGTAATACAAAGCAAGAATAAAATGCAATGTAATATAAACATGCTAAACCCCTCCCCCATTGCATACAAATCTAAACAAAGTCAGCAACAGATTGTAGCTATGGTATTTAAGAAATAAGTCCTGGAGTGTTTCATCAATTTGTTTCCCACAAGCTAGTCACCTATTATATTTTCTCTTGATGATATGTTCTACAGAAAGCACATTAAAATTTTTGAATACATTCCTTTGATTTAATATTTATTTATTATAGCTGCTAAATACCTAATATATTCTCTAAAAGTACTCCACAAGTTCAGTGGAAAAATGGAAATTCAGAATTACAGACCTATGCTGGCAGTTGTCTATTAAGTAATTAGTGCACTTGTTTCTCCTTTATTTAACACATTTATATTGCTGCCCAGTGACCCTTGAATGGCTTACAAAATTTAAAACTCACCTTACAATAAACTTTCTCCTTTGCCTATTACTTTCTGTATAATGATATACTTTCCATTTTTTGTGGTAACATAATGTCTTTTCCAGTTTAGAGACTCATGTAGAAATGAACTTTATTATTTAACCATTTAACCTTTTATAGCTACTTCTGTATTATTGTCCTAGGTGATTTTTATTACAATAATCTAAATGATTATCAAGTTCATGAATTAATCCATCAAAAACCCATTTGCTTATTTCACAGATACTTTATTAGTAATGAATTTGATGGTAGACCAGGAGGAAGACATCTTTATAAGTAAGATGCTTTTTTATTATGGTTCTGCTATAAAGAGCATACATAGCATATATCTTTATTTATTTTTCACATTTTTGAATTGCCTTCCTCCAGTTTGCTCTAATGGTTAAAATGCTAGCTTAGGAACCAGGAGACTGAGTTTTAGCCCCACCTTATGCATGACTGGGACAGTATATCTCTTTCATGGTTATTGTTGGGGGGAGGGATAAGAGGAAGAAGGAATATTAGGTTTGTTTGCTGCCTTGAGTTACCGTAGTTATTAAACAATAATAAATATGGGATAAAAATCAAATAAATAGTACCCTAATGCAAGGATGATAATGCTGATATAAAAATTATAAATTCAAAATTAAATTTATTTATTTATTTATTTATTTTATTTTGTCAAGCAATTATAAGATAACAGGTATAAGTATAAACATAGTTATGGATATATGAAATGGATACATATAAGAAAAATAAAAAAGAAACAATAGGACAGGGACGCTTATGCACACCCCCTACAGACCTCTTAGGAAAGGGGTGAGGTCAATAGTAGACAGTCTAAGGTTAAAGTTTTTGGGGTTTGGGGAAGAAACCACAGAGTCAGGTAGTGTATTCCAGACACTGACCCGTCGTATTTTCTGCAATCAAGTTTGGTGTGGTTTACCTTGAGTTTGTATTTATTGTGTGCTCTTGTATTGTTATGGTTGAAGCTGAAGTATTCATTGACTGGTAGGACATTGCAATGTATGATTGTATATACTATACTTAGATTGGACCGAAGGCGGCATAGTTCTAGGTTTTCTAGGTCTAGAATTTCAAGTCTGGTGGCATAAGGTATTCTGCAACGAGTAGAGGAGTGGATAACTCTTCTTGTGAAATATTTCTGGACTTTCTCAACTGTGTTAATATCAGATACGTAATGCGGGTTCCAGACTGATGAGCTGTATTCAAGTATTGGCCTAGCAAATGTTTTGTATGCTCTCGTTAGTAGTTTGATATTACCAGAGAAAAGGCTACGTAGGATTAGGTTAACAACTCTTAATGCCTTCTTGGCTATGTAGTTGCAGTGGACTCTAGCACTTAGATCATTGGAGATGAGTATTCCAAGGTCCTTGACAGGGTTTGGATCATCAACAAGGTCTTGACTATTCAGCTTGTATTTTATTTTCTGATTTTTTTTGCCAATATGTAAGACAGAGCATTTATTTGTTGAGATTTGAAGTTGCCATTTGTTTGACCATTCTGATACATAGTTGAGGTCTTTTTGAAGGGTAGCAGTGTCATAAACTGATGGGCGAAACAAGTATGCTGCTGGTAGAGTAAATTGGACACAACTTGAATTGAATTATTTAGATGAGAAAAACTAATAATGAATTTATGGAATGATGAATCCATGGAATGGTATTGATTGACAATATTTAGCACTAAAACACTGGAGCTCTTGCTTTACTGCAGGTAAAGTAGACAACTGAAGAAAAAAAAGAAGAGAAATCTGAATTAAGTAATTACATGAAGGCAACTGTTCAAATTAGTTTGCAAAGAAAACACCCTCAGAGTAACAGAGGCAAAAATTGTGTATAAAGGTGAATTGTTGGAAAACTGTTTAGAAAACTCAAGATGTAAACCATGACATTGTCAGCATATAAAACAAAACATGAAGCATTGGTGCACACAAATATAAATTATTCTGGCAATCATAAGGATGCAAAGAAAAAAACAACTAAGGAACGGTCCTGTTGAAATCAAACGTTTTTGTAGTGGTGTGTGCCTTTATGATGTGCAATACAATACACATTTCTTCTACTTTTCTCTTTCCCTCATTTTTACAGAGTGGACTTAAAACATGACTTGAAAAAAACATGTATCACTTGTGATCCAAATGAGGAAGCATGTCAGTATTTCTCTGTATCCTTCAGCACAGATGCAAGATATTATAAACTAAATTGTTACGGCAAGTATTACAGATCCCCCCTCCCATCCTTACAGAAATGCAACTTAATCTTTAAGATCCTCATATTTACATGATGCTTCTCCAATCCATGATTCAAAGAATTATTGTTGTTTGGATGGTTTATAAGCAAAAACTTTTTCAGGTATTTCAGAGGATACCTGGGTCACAGCCATCACCATTTGGGTTTTTTTTTTAATTGCATTTTTATTCCTGCTTTTCCTTTAAGAAGTCAAGACGGATGATGCTGTTAAAACATATTAACCTCAGAGGAACAATTTTGTGAGAGAAATTGGGCTGAGAGAAAGGGATTGATCCAAAGTCAGTCTGTGAGTTTCAAGGTCAAGGGAAGGTTTGAAGCTCGGTCTCCCTTCTTCTAGTTATCACTGGAAGCATTATGAGAACTAAAGGATGGGCTGCAATTATGCTCTTCTTATACACTGATGTAAAAGTTTCCACTGGTTTAAAAATGAGGAGTATCACAGTGCATCATGAAACATAAATTTATTTTTAAAGACCTACTAGAAAAACTACTTTTCTTCCATTCCACTTTGGTTGCTTATCTGGCCACATGAACCAGAACAGGAGCAGTTGGTTTGGCTGCTGTTGAATGACAGTATAAAACTCTTGAACCTGATCATCTGCAATTTGGCAGAATTTATCTCCTTAAAGGAAGCCAGTATGCCTGAATATTTACCACTAAAGAAGTAAAATGATATTGACCATCCCCATATATTTTGTAGGACTATTGTTTGTGGAGAGAGGAAAGCAGGGACCAGTTATTTGAACTGTGTATGTGTGTGGGGGGGGGGGGGGGGGGAATAATATTGGAATGAGTTAGGCCAATGCTACTCTAGCACTAGGCCAATGCTACTCTACCCACTATGCTCAGTGTGGAAGATCCCTGGAGGGAAAGCTATACTGAGAATATGGCAGCTCCTTTGCCTCAGCAATAAGCAGCCGAGGGCAGCTGCAAATGTTTCAGGAGGAGTACAATCCTGTTCCTGATACTTTAGTGGAGATGACTTTCCACCCACATACTATTAGGAGACATGTTCCTCCCCTAACCACATTTCTTGGAATGTGCTGCCTCTGTTGCCTCTCACATTTCCCAGAGCATCCATTCTCTTCTCCCTGAACAGCTGCAGAGTGCAAGGAGCCCCTGACAACTGCTCACCTCTCCTTCCTTCTCCTCTTAGTGCTGTGAGGACTTTTAAAGGCAGCAGGGAGTCCCCCTTGTTTCCTGATGTGATGACAGAGGGGATCCATAAGCAGCCAATCAAGATTGGCAAGTTGCTCGATCACTGGAGGTTTTTTTTAAAAAAAACAATTGAACATTTTCATTTGTCTGAAATGGTATAGTGTGATTCCTACTTGAGCAGGAAGTTGGACTAGAAAACCTCTAATAACTACACTGTACTTTGGACATCCATAAAACAGATGTGAAGAAGAAAATGAATTTTAGGCTGGTCAGAACAGAAAGACAAAAAACCCTTCCCTCCAATTTCCAATTAATTGACTGATATGACAATTGGTATTAAATTGTTGAAGAAAAAGCATTTTTGTTGACAGAATTATGTGTTGTCGAACAGGAAAAAAAGATATACAAGTGACCAGCTTATTCCAAAATCATAAAATTAGTATAACAAGTGGTATTAATTGATTCAATTGAATGTAATTTTTATTTACAGTGTTCATTTATTTTAAATATATTTATGGATTACATGTGGCACCTGATTAAATAATCTTTCCACTAAATCCAAAGCTGCAAAGAAAGAAAACGCAGAATAAAATGCAAAAAATAAGAAAAACTCGGTCAAAACACATTGACAAAGAAACAATAGCAATAACTGGAATAAAATCAAATTCAGTGAAAAGTTAGCTTAATTAATTGGATTTTTTTAACACTCTGTGAATAACAGGTCCTGGCATGCCCTACTTCACCTTGCAAAACAGCAAAACAGACAAAGGTATTTTTTAATTTTCCCCCCCTGATTAGAACAATGTGAATGCATGTCTACTCTGGGATATTTATGATTTAGAGTTTGTAACATTTTGTCCATACATATCTTGCAGTAAAATCAATTATACATAATTAGCTTTATTTCTGGTATGAGTGCATGAGATTACGTTTTGGTGATGTAATTCAGTGACCTCCCCCAGTTGGGTGCAGTACATGTGATGGACTTCAGTTCCCATCACACCTGAAACCAATTCAAATTGCTGTTTGGCTGTTAACAATGGGACTGCTAGCCTAACATGTCTGCAGGGCACCAATTTAAGAAAGCTTGATTTTATTTGTGTAACGCACACTATTTAGAAGTAGATCCCTGAGGTAGAATGAGATTCATTACTAAGAAGCTGTAACCTTTGTGTTAAAGGCATCAACCTAATATGTCATTATCATTTATATAACTTGATGAAAAAAAATGATAAGAGTTTGTGTGTGTGTGTGTGTTACTGTGTATGTGCACGCATACTTGCAAGGAGATCAAATTTCCAATAATAGTTGGCAAAAGGGTACAGACCTAGGACAAGAGTCTGTGATTTTTTTTTTTCTAAAAAAAAAGTCCCTTCTGTGTGTAGCAACTCTGACAAGATGAGATTGTTGCCAGCTGAGCTCATATTTTTGAGCTGGTGCTACTTAGATCTTGAATGTTACAGCATTGTTGAGAAACACTCCAGTTGGTATGAAAAGAAATATATTTGTGGAAAAGAATCTCGATTGTTCTTTCTGTTGATTTATGTGTGTGTCTTTTGCTTTTCTTTTTCCTTCCCTGCTTGTAATTAATGTTTGAAATCAGAGGCAATTTTTTTTCATCAATCATCTCCTACGCATGTTTGCTAGGAAGTAAGTCCCACTTCCAGATAGGAGGCACAATAGCTTAGCAGTTAAAGAAGACAGCCTGGGTTCGAGATCTGAGTGCCACACAGTGGGGATAAGCTCCCGTTACTTGTCCCAGTTCCTGATCACCTAACAATTCCAAAGCAAGCAAGTGCAAATAGATAAGTAGGTACACTACTTCGGTGGGAAGGTAATGGCATATAGTCATGCTAGCCACATGACCATGGCTCCCTCAGTTAAAAAAAGATGAGTGCCATTCCCTATGTAATTGATTTTTAAAACCAGCTCTCCATGTTGTTTTAATTCTTTCACTTATCAAATATATCTGTTTTAATCCTAGCTATTAAGATCCTAGAAAATAATGATAATTTGAAAAATGTATTGAAAGAAATTCAGATGCCCAGCAAAAGACTGAGAAATATTACTCTGCATGGACAAAGTAAGTTTGCAAACAAAATGTAGTTTTGTAACAAAATGAAACAAATCATTTTTTTAAAAAAAACTGAATGAAGCAGTATATTTGCAGTTTTTTGAAATCGTAATTTTGAATGACATAAATGTTTTGCAGCTCATAATTATTATTTAATTATTATCAGCCATGCCTTAGAAAAACAATTTCTCCTATGATTCATAACAGGAAAGGAGCCATTAGGTTTAAAAATGTCTAATATGAGACTTTGTAGATGAAGACCAAGCAGCTTGCTCAGACAGCATTGCTGAAAGCAGGGTTATCTTTTTCTTGATACCTCCATGAATTCCTGCTTTCATTTGGAGGCTATAAACTGTTTCAGGTGTGCTGATTCAGGATATGACTTCTGCAGTCTGAGTGTGATTCTGATTATTGCCATGCTGATACCTGTCAGTTTCAGCTTGCACTTTGGACTGGGAAGGTCTGTACTGCCAGCAGCACACAAGAGTAATGATTGCTCCGAAACATTTGTCTTAATTCAGAAGAGGGGAGAGTGAGGCAATTGAACCTTGTGCTTACAAAGTTGCTTCATTCACCCATCTCCAAATCTCCCTCCCTCCCTCCCTCCCTTTTTAATATATCCTAAAACATTTCATTTTTCTAGGAGAGGGGTGGGTTTTATTTTCCAACAATTCTCCCCCCCCCCTTTTTTTTTTTTACAAATAACTCAAGACAGTGAACATATCCAACACATTCTCTTGTTCTTATTTTCCCCACAATAACAAGGATCCTGTTATTGTGAGGGGAGTAAAGGTGAGAGAGAGTGACTGGCCTAGAGTTACCCAGCTGGCTAAGGTGGGACATTCTAGCCTCATGCCTTAACCATTAAACTCCTTCCTTCCTTCCTTCCTTCCTTCCTTCCTTCCTTCCTTCCTTCCTTCCTTCCTTCCTTCCTTCCTTCCTTCCTTCCTTCCTTCCTTCCTTCCCAACATATTGCTTGTCCCTCCTTTTTGTCTATGCTTCCTTATCCACTCTCTTTTTGTATGCATCGAACAGCTTGGTTTCCTCTCCCCCTATTCCCCACCCCATCTTTCTACTGGAATTTGTCCTTGTCACCTCAAACATCGTCTTTTCCCAGTCCCACCTGATTCTTCCCAGTGTACTCACTCTCTTAGAGAACCCATACTGCCTTCAACCCTGTAGCATCTTTTCAGCCAGCCAGCCCATCTATTGGAAGGGTGCAACTTCTTTGCAGTGTTGTTGTTTTTTTCTTTAGTAAAGAGAATTCTGTTCTTAATTGATAGCTTCTGCTAGTAATGAGAAAAAAAAGGTTTCACCTTTCTCCCCCACCATTCACTTTGGAATAATGAGAAAAAGCAACTTCCTTCTTTCCTTTGTTCAAAAAGGAGGCAGCATTTTTTTCACCAGCAGGAGAGGCTATGAACCAAAATAATAGTGTCATAGCACCCTCTATTGATAAAGTATTTAAAAAGCAGAAACACAAACATCACTCCCCAAAGTAAAATATAATTTAGTGATCATTCAAAACAGAAAATTAAAGGGAAAAATTAAAACATCAGTGAATAAAGTATGAAACAAACAGCGTTTGGTCTGACCTTTTTCATGTTGTGTAAAGCACAGGGCAGCCTTCAAGCTGATGGAAGGCCTCAAGATATGTCCTTCCTTCCTTCCTTCCTTCCTTCCTTCCTTCCTTCCTTCCTTCC